TCTGAAGATAGGACAGGGTTCGGATCTGTTGTTCATATGCTTGCTATGTATGGATCATACTTAACTCAATGACATCTAAAAACAATAATAGTGTTGATATCAACTTACAGTAACTATATAATTTTTTTATTTACATTGGTCTGCTTTCAAAATACCATCTCAGACATATGTCTCATAATAAAAGTATACAGAATATCCCTGGGCCTCCACAAGAAAAAGACTGATAACACCATTACAAAATTGGCAAAGACATAGAAAGAATTTTCACATAGGAAGATATTCAAATGGCAAACAGACACATGAAGAAATGCTCCAAATCACTGGCAATCAGAGAGATACAATTTTAAACAATGAGATTCCATCTTTCTTCAGAAGTAGCAGCAAAGTTTAACAGAACAGCAAGCAGTAAATGTTGGCGAGGCTGTGGAGAGATTGAAACTCTCATGCACTGCTAATGGGACTATAAAATGATACAACCATCTCGAAAGGTATTTTGGCATTTCCTCAAAAAGCTGAATTTAGAAATGCCTTACCACTGAGCCATTCCACTGCTGGGAATACAACTCAAGGCAATTAGAGCTTAAATATAAACAGACATACATGCATGCATACATGCATGCATACATACATACATACATACATACATACATACACCTATGTTCACAGCAGTGCTATTCACAATAGCAAGAAAACGGAAACAATCTAAATGTCCATCAGTATCATGTAAATTATCTATATCTTGATTGTGGCAATGGTTTCAAGTTACAAAATGTTTACAGAGAGTCATCAAATGTGGTTTTAAGGGGTGAATTTTAGTATATATATTGTGTCTATAATGATGACTTTTAATTTCAACTGTGCTATTTTACAAATGAATAATATTAAATTAAGGACAGTAATTCTTTTTCTTGAGAGGTTTCCAGTAGTTCTGCATATCTTCTGTGCCTATTGTTAATTGGTTTAGGGACAGACTCCCATGACACCATTCCCAAGGGCTCCCCAATCCTGAACTGCATACTTCAGTAGAAGCTATGGAAGGACTTGCCCTGATCTAGAAACTGGTACCGAGCCCTCATATATTGGTTTCAAACCTGATCAGGTATCAAGAAGAAAGGTAACTAATTCCTTTACAGAGACTGTAAAAAATGAAAGAGAATGCTTCTTCTTGAGACAGGAGAAAATGGCTGCAGCGACTGGAGATTTACCAGACAGCAATAACTACGGAATTGGGGAAAGGCAGACTAATGTTACTTTACTGATCAATAAACAATCGCTTTCCATGGCAGGAAGTTAACTCTGGTGATCTAACCAGTCCCAAAGCTTCAAGGCTGGCTAACCTACATAAAACGGAAACCTGTTTCTCATAGTAAGTCATGAGTGTATCAAATGCATTTTTCTAATAAAGGGGAGAAATGGGAAGTAAAATTGATTTGCAGAGGTTAATTATGTAGAGGGCACGAGTAGTACAGTGATAAAATTCTCTTCTTCCACATAGATCTGGATTTGATTCCTGGTCAATATACCTCACGTCTATCCCCTATCCATTTATCTATGTGTATCTATGGGGAGATTTTTTATGTTGCTATGATGCCGAACAAGTCTTAAGAGAGCTCCCAAACTAAAAATAATTCTAGATTAATGTCTTCTGTTCTGTTGTTATGTACCATCGAGCCAGAACCAACCTATAGCTGACCCTCCAGAAGGTTTTAAGAGGCAGTTAATTACGTGAGAGGATATTGTCCATCCTTCACCCTTCTTCTTCAGTTCTACTTCTAAAAATAAATAAAAGAACTATAGATCACAGTGTCCAGATCCATAAATTATCACTGAGATAGTCAAGATCCATCAGCCTTTAATTCCCTTTACATGGGTTCATTTTGAGCTAGGGGATTCCACAGCGAATAACAATAAGGGAGAGAGAGAGAGAGAAGAGAGAATCATTATATATATATATATAATGTGAGAGTTGAAATCTTTGTAGAAGAGACTCTAGAGGCAATTGTTTAGATCTTAGTGTTTCTTTTGTCTTTGCCTTATAGTAGACTCAGTAATGGCACACTGCTGATTCCCTCTTTAAGCCCTTAGTATAAAGCTGGCACATAGCAAAATACCCATTAAATGTCCCTTGTTACTATAGTTGTTGCTTTTTCAACAATTTCTCTTTCAACAATTTTCTCAAGATATATTTAAGGCCCATACAAGCAGCATGATTAATGCATGCAAAACACTCGGAAAGTTTGTAATTCCTCCATGAGAGTTAACAACTGATGCTCTAATCATTGTTAATACTGCTTCTATAATACTTTCATGGGATGATAGGGATGCAACAATCATGTTGTCTTGTGGTCATTTTGGGGGGGTTGGCACAGTCTGGGTTAAGAAAAGCACTGCCTAGATCCTGCATGGCAAAAACTTGTGCTTCTTCTTACACATCATTTCCTTAAGAGTTTAAGGGAATGTAGGGCAATGAAGTTACAGACAGGAGCAGTCTGTCCAGGATCTTCTGAAAAGAGCTATGCTTTACTATTCTTCAAAACAAAGAGAGTCCTACTTTTGATTATTAAACAGAGAAGTTATTAACAATAAATGTTGTTTTTCCTAGGAAAAATTAAGAATATGCTTATATTTTCAGCTGAGTTAACCTACAGAATTGTTTATTTCTTTGTTCCTAAAATTATCCCAAGTCATAAGTATTAACTGTATGAAGACAAAAGCATCACAATTTTGACAGAAAATATTTTGCAAGAATTTTGTTTATGTAGAGTGTGAGCATGATTGAGTTAAGATTGTGCTCATACCTAGGCAATAGCATAATTTGTTAGTGAATTGCTATTTCACTATAATATGTTCCAAACAATTTTATCAATATTTATTGAATTATTGTAATTTTTAAAGAACATAAGTTCTTACATATTAAGTAGGTCATTTTTAAATATGATTAAAGAAGCTAAAGAACACTTAATTTCTTTTTAAGGTCGTAAAGATAGCTACTGATGGAAACAATGTCTCTTAAAGTAGGAGTCATTTATTATTACTCTATATCCCAAGACACAAAAGACTGAATAATATAATGATTAATTTGAAATAATAATATTAATATTCAAAATATCACATTTATAGATCCTAATTTGCCTATCCATAAAATTATTGCTTCATACTTGAAAGGAACTGGCATGAAAGCATGTGCTCCCATCCCAAAAACACACAGTTAAAATGTACTAGCTGCTTTAAAGGGAAAATATGGCCAATTTCTTCTGATGCCACTAAGTGCTTTTGAAAACTCACTGGGGGGTCAGCTATAAGTACAATCTGACTCAGTAGTAAATAATCAGGCATTTGCTTCTATTATATTTCAGAGTTTATCTCTATTTCTCATTTGTTTTGCAATCAAAAAGTAATCAAATTTTACAATGGTTAATAATACTAACTGGTTTATGATCTTCCTTTTTTCTCAAAACTCTGGAATACCATGTCATAGTCTATGTATGATAATTGAGATTAATGAAGCATGGTTTTCAAGGATATTTCCTCCATTATTTTATGTTGTTAAACAATTCAATATCTATGTAACAGGTGGCATTTACATGCCAAAAGTTAGGAAGACGGAGAAACATCACAAAGATCTCCGAAAAACAGGTTCCGATTCTTTAGTAACCTAAAGAAAAGCAATTCCCTGGTACCAAGGAGCTGTTAACTGCTTATAGTGATTCTGCATTGAAGTATTGTACTAAGAACTCTGCTCTTTTTACATTGACTGCTTTTATGTAATGGTTTAACTTTTTATCTAAAATAAAGTCTAAGCATTGGCTTTCGGATGAAATGGTTTAAGATAGCCTGTGAAAGAAAGCTTTTTTTTCTGGTAGTTGTTGTGAAATGAGAAGGGACATTGTGTATGAATGACTATGACCCACGAAAGAAATCAACTCACTGAAAAATGAATTTTAATATCTCATTTACAAATTTCACTTCTAATCAGAAGGAAAAAAATTAATATTTAGACACTGACTTTGAAACAATCCCTATGTACACATAAGACCTTAAATTTAATTTGTAATTCTGCTGGAATCATCCATAGGGGGTCGCACTGATAACCCAAAGGCCTTACCTCTTGGCCATTTGAAATCCACCAGTGGCTCTGTGAGGGAAAGCTGAGCTATTTCCTCCTGTTTCAGCCTCAGAATACATACTAGAAAGTCAGCTGGGAGTAGATTCTGACTCAATGGCAATTAATTTGATTTGGAGTTGTTGGTTTTTTGAGAAAAAAATATTTATTAACCAGATTTTATTTCATTCCATAGGCAATGAGTAAGAACAAAAAGGTGTGACAGTCGTCAGTATAAGCTGTTAATTAAGTAAAGAGATTATTCAAGTGTGAAACTCAAAAAGTAGGCTAACAGTGAAAGACTGAATAAACTCAGGAAATGAGAAGTTTGATTGACAATTAAAATTTCTTGAGTTTAGGATTGAGAGAGAGCCTCACGAGAAGCCTAAGAGAGGCTCTGTAGTTGCAAAGGTAGAAAAGATCATTTTAAAAACCTACAGTATGCCAGATTCAAAAATGCTAATATAAGTTCTTTGTCATTGAGTTAGAACCAACTTATAGCTGACCCTCCAGCAGGCTTTTGGAGACTGTAAATTGCACAGGGGGAAATTGTTCCTCATTCTCCCTCAAAGTCCATAGCCGTCTAGGACCCATTAAAAAGATATGTGAAAAAAGATGATCAATTTAGAGACTATTACCTGTTAAATGAATAAATATTCATTTTTCCCACATCAGATAAGCTGTAACATATAATCTTTTTTTTAATTTTCATTTGCCCTGATGTAAAAAACAAACAAAAGATTCTCTTTATTAAGAATTGTTTTTTCTTGATTTAATTTTGGCCATAGGTGTACACAGAGGATGGTGCTGATCAGGAGACAAAAATATATTCACAATGCATATCTTCTATTATTTTGCCTCTAGGTTTTCAATTCAAATAAAATGTTCGCATGAAAACATGGATCAAAATAATGTGACGTCAGATGACTTCATCCTTCTAGGGCTCTTCCCTGGTTTCGAGTATCCCCACCTCCTCATCTTCATCATCCTCCTCATCTACACCATTGCTTTCACCGGAAACGCCCTCCTGATCCTCCTCATTTCGATGGATACCCGTCTCCACACCCCCATGTACTTCCTGCTTAGCCAGCTCTCCCTCATTGACCTTTCTTACATCACCAGCACAGTCCCCAAGACAGTGACCAACTACTTCACAGGGAGAAAGAACATTTCCTACTTTGCCTGTGCAACTCAGTTGTTTTTCTTTCTCACGCTTGGCCTTGCCGAGTGTATTCTCTTGACTCTCATGGCTTATGATCGCTATGTGGCTGTCTGTAACCCCCTGAGATACACAATCCTCATGAGCCCTAGGATCTGTCTACAAATGGCTGCTGCAGCCTGGATAGGAGGAGCTCTTGCAGCCCTTGTCCATACCATTTACCCAATGCATTTCCCTATCTGCGGCTCCAGGAAAATTAATCATTATTTTTGTGAGATGCCTGCCATCTTGAGACTCTCTTGTGTGGACACATCAGCTTACGAGATGGTGAAGTTTGTGTCGACTATTGTGTTTCTTCTGATTCCTTTTGTTCTCATCCTGTTATCCTACACCTTCATTTTCTTCACTGTACTTAGGATGAAATCCCGCAAGGGGAGGAACAAAGCCCTGGCCACCTGCTCTTCTCACCTGACTGTGGTGAGTCTCTACTTTGGTCAGGCCATCTTCATCTACATGATGCCCAGCTCTTCACACACTCCCAAGCAAGACCAGATAGGAGCTGTGCTTGGCACCATAGTGATCCCCATGCTCAATCCTCTCATCTACAGCCTAAGGAACAAAGAAGTTGTAGGGGCTCTGAAGAAAAGGATGGGAAAGTACTGCAAATGTGAAAACGTCCTGTTTCCACAATGTCCTTCTCAAAAATGTTCTATCCTTTAACTTTTTAGAGTGTCAACAGTCAACTCAAATTCCAAGATGTTTTTCATTATAGTACTGAAACTATAGTATCATGAAAGACAAAGAAAGATCAATCTTTTAGGATATTGATATTTGCTTATTTATGGAGCTATACTCAAGACCACAGTGGTGTTTTCAGTTGAGTTTAACGTAACCAACTTTGATTTATTTTTATTAGAAAACTCATTCTTTTTATATCTACAAATCTTTGATCAAGTTCAATACAATTCTAGCACTAACTTTTTGATTGCTGTTTCTTCTTTTTAAATATGTGTTTTTATCCATCTCGTTATTCTTAGCCCTCTTCACTGAATCTTCATTCTCCAAGAGATCAAACATTAATTCACAATAGAGCCTTCCCAGATAACTCTTCTTTCCTGTAAATTGAGTTGTTCATGTGTCCTTTTCTATTTTTATCTATAATTTGCATGGCTATTGTTTTGTCTATAAGTTTAAATAACAGATTAAATATGTGAACAGGAATCATAAAGAGTTAAATTTACTCTGGAAGGCAATTTGGCACTTCCACAAAACGCTGAACATAGAAATTTCATATGACCCAGCTATTCCACTACTTGGATTATATCCTGAGACAATGAGAACTGAGGCACAAATAGAGACTTGTACATCAATGTTCACAGCAGCATTATTCACCATCACAAGAATATGGAAACAGCCCAGATGTCCAACCACAAATGAATGGGTTGAGAAATTATGGTACATTCACACAATGGAATACTATGCAGCACACAGGAGCAATAGCTTTTAAATTATTACCTAAATTGGGAGGGACTGAAAAGCTTTATGGTTTGTGAACTAACTCAATCCCAAAACGATAAATATTGTATAAAACCCTTATTGTAAGGTGAGCATAAGAATCCAAGGGGGGAGAGGGTAAAAGCAGAGGGATGAGGTTGTGCAGCGGTAGCGGGGATTAATCATGGAGTTGTACACTTTATGGGTTGGGGGAGGTGAGGGAAATTGGAAGAATCTGTTCTGGAAAACAAGGTATTCAAATTTTGTAAATAAACTAGTATAATAAAAAAAGATAAATTCAGAAAAAGTTAAGAATGATTTACCCTCCTCTTTTTTCCTACTGAATTTTTCCATTTTTCATTTTTCCTTGCTACATTTAATAGTTAGATTTATCCACCTAATGAAAATAGCTTAACTGTATGCATGTATTATCATAGCTATTACGAGTGTAGCTTACAGTAGCTGGTGGTGGTAGTGGTGGTGCTATTGTTAGGGGCCATTAAGTTGACCATGACTCCTAACAACTTTAAGAAAAACAAATCTGAATGCACCATCCTCACAATCTCATTCATGATCAAGTTCATTGGTGTTGACATAGTTTAACTACTAAGGCAGAGGACACTATTCTTAATAAAATAAGTAATAACAAAAGTAGCCAGGAAATGAAAAGGCACATTGCCATGGGAAAGTCTGCTGTTAGGGATCTCTCCAAAGTACTGAAGAGCAATGGTGTCTCTCTGGAGACTAAGGTGCATTTGATACAGGCCATTGTCTTTGCAATCAATTGTTATGCATCAGAGAGTTGGACAATGACTAGGGAGGATAGAAGGAGAATTGATGCCTTTGAGCTGTGGTGCTGGAGAAGAGTACTGAGAATACCATGGACTGCTAGGAAAACAGATTTGTCCTGGAAAGAGTTAAACCGGGTGGCTCCTTGGAGGCAAGGATTCTGAGGCTCCGTCTAACATACTTTGGACATGTTGTGAGGAGAGACCGGTCCTTGGAGAAGGACATCATGCTTGGGAGGGTGGAGGGTCGGCGCATGAGGGGAAGGCCCTCTATGAGGTGGATTGATTCAGTGACTGGGATAATTGGGATGGGAGTGTCCAAGACAGTGCGATTGGCACAGGACAGAGCAGAGTTTAGGGCTGTTGTACATAGGGTCACTATGAGTCGCAAGCGACTCGACGGCACATAACAACAACAACAACAACAACATAAATATGATTAATAAATTATCTTTAAACTTCCCCCATTTTTATTAATATCATCATTACCATTATCAAAATCTTTCCTTCTAAGAAAATCTTTCATTTTTCAAATTTTGCTTATTTTGTTGTTGCTGAGTATATACACAGGGAACAGATGAATTCAACAATTTTAACATGTAAAATCCAGTGATACTGGCTATATCCTTAGAATTGTGCATCCACTCTCATCATCTTTTTCTGATTTCTCTCTCCTTCATTAACATAAACTTATACACCCTTTAAATTCCTATCTGAGCTCTGATAGTCAAGTGGTAAGGAGTAGCACTGCCAATCAAAAGGCATGAAGTTCTAATACAGAAACTGCTCTGCTCCATAAGAAAAAGATGAGAAATCTCTTCCCTTATAATTTCCAGCCTCTGTTTATCTACTAGAGAGTTAGCCATGAGTCAGTTCTTTCTCAATGACACATTAAAACAATAATGTTTTTCACATCGGATTTTTCCCCTTCCGTTTATCTATCCTTCCCTCCACCTATGAAATTGTGTGACCTATGATTAAGCCTCCCCACCTCCTTGGATCCTCGTACTTGATCTACAATGATGGTCTTATACAGTATTTGTCTTTATGAGACTGAGTTAGTTTACTTAACATAATGCTCTCCAGTCCCTTCCATGTCAGGTAGTAATTTACAAAATTATTGCTCCTACGTGTTGCATAGAATTCCATTGTGTGAATATGCCATGATTTCTCAATCCATTCCATTGTGGTTGGACATTTGGGCTGTTTCCATATTCTTGCTATGGTGAACAACTTTGTATGTAAACCAGTATAAAATAATTCTTAAAAACCCCAAAATTATATATCACAAAAAATAATATTCCTATGTATTTTTTTTCAAGTTGCTATATAGAGAGAGCTCTTTTAAAAAGATAATGCTCAATGCTCAAGGCATACAACAATACTACCATTCCATTTCCTCATTCTGTTCCTGACTTTGATACTGCAGGGCCCAGTTGCTATGTTTTTAATGACTGTAAGCTTTGAAGGCCCCCGGCTACACAATGGACACTACAGGGTGTAACAGAATTGTTGTTGTCAGGTTCCATAGAGTCAAGTACAATGTAGAGCAACCCTATAAACAACAGATACAAACCCTATCTTATCCTGAACCATCTTCGCACTTGCAACACACCAGAGTCCACTGAGGCAGTCACCATGTCAATCTACCTGATCGAGGGTCTTCCTCTCCTTCGCCGGCACTTCACCCTTCCAAGCATCATATCCCTATTCAAGGAATAGCCCCTCCTAGCAACAAGCTCAATGTATGTGAGGTGAAGCCTCAAAAAGAGCCTCTAAAGAGCCCTCTGACTGCACCCTCTCCACGACATATTTGTTTCTTATTTTTGCTGTCCATGGATGTTCAGTACGCTTCTCCAACAGCACAGCTGAAAGGCTTCAATTCTTCTTCTGTCATCCTTGTCTATTGTCCAGTTCTCAGAGGCATAGCAAGTGATCAGAAAGACCGTAGCCTGCATCAGATGCACCTTGGTCCTCAAAGTGACATCATCACAACTCAATAATTTGGAGACTGCAAATTTTCCCAGTGCAATGTGTCTCCTGATTTCCTTACTGCTAGTTATTAAAGGTTATTAATTGTGGATTCAAGTAAGATGAAGCTGTTGGCAGTTTCAATCTCTTTTCCATCCATCAGGATGTTGCCTATCAGTCCAGTGGTAAGAATATTTGTTTTCTTGCCACTGAAATGCAATCCATACTGAAGGCTACATTCCTTGATTTTCTGCAACAACTCTTTCAAGTCCTCACTATCAGCAAACAAGGTTGTGTGGTATGCATGATCCAGATTATTGGTTTTCCTCCAATCCTGATGCCACATTCCTCTTCAAAGACTCCAGCTTCTCAAATACTTTGCTCAACATATAGATTGAATAGGTATGGAAAGAGAATACAAGCCTGACACACCATCTTCTTAATTTTAAACCATTTAGTGTTCCCCTAGTCTGTTCACACAGCAGCCTCCTGGTCCAGGTATAGGTTTCACATGAGCACAATGAAGTGCTCTGGGACTCCCAGGTATTGCATTATTAGTCAAAAAGTCAATATCAAGTTCCATTCTGAAATATAATATTGTGAGTGACAGGATAATGCCCATATGCATACAAGAAAGATGTGTTAACACAAATATTATTCAAATATACACTCCTACATCTAGACTCAAAGAAGAAGAAATTAAGACTACCACTATTATTCAAATATACACACCAACAACTAAAGCCAAAGGGGGGAAAAATATTGGAAATTTCTATCAACTTTTGTGGGGGTTCTGGTGGTCTTGTAGTATGAAAATGCTACAATCTCATAGCCATGCTGTTCACATCCACTAGCTGCTCCACTCGCAAAGGATGAGCAATCTTCTCCCATTGCCTCTAAAAACCCACAAGAGGATTCACTATGAGTTGTTTTCTACCTAACAGCACACAACTACAACAAGATCGAGATGCATTAAAAATAATTTGTTGTTGGAATGCAAAAGGTAGAAACAAAGAAGGACTGGCAGTTGATATCAAAATACAGATACTGGTATCAAAAAGATACAGATTTGATGAGAGAAATCAAGCTGGAGATCAAAACACTGAATTTTGAACACTCAATGAGTTGTTCATTGCAAATCTCTTTCTTTAAAACACACACACACACACACACACACACACACACACACACACACACACCAAACAAAACAAATGGTGACTACACACATGAAACTCACCAGAATAAAATTACACAGAAATCAGATTGACTACATTTGTGGGAAGAATCAATAGTAAAGCTCAAAATCAGCAAACAAAACAATGTGAAAGGTTGATTATGGAACAGCCAACAGATATTTGTTCGTAGGTGTCCTTGAGTCAAGTAAAACTCATTATGAACATGTGAACAATAGACCTGAACCCTATCCTATCCTGCACCAACCTTACAACCTCTGACACACTCGAGACCATTGTGGCAGTCACTGACAATCCACCTGGATGCAAGTCTTCCTTTCTTTCACTGTTCCTTCTAACCATTATGATCCTCTCCAGGAATATCCTCTCCTAGCAACAAATTCAAATTATATGAGATGATACATTGTCATATCTGCCTCCAAGGAGCACTTTGGCTGCATCTTCTCCAAGACATATCTCTTTGTTCTTTTGGCAGTCCAGGGGATATTCAGTGCTTGTCTCCAACATCACAGTTTATAAGCATTATTTTTTCTTCTGTCATGCACTTGCTGTGAAGGGTCAAGGACTGCAGCCTTCAGTATGGACTGAGGCTCAATGTCAAGAAGACAAAGATTCTCACCACTGGACCAATTGGCAGTGTCAGGATGGATGATGAAGAGATTGAGAGTGTTCACAGCTTCAGTTTGCTCTGCTCCATGGTCAACACTCTTGGCACCAGCAGTCAGGAAATCAAAAAGTGTATTGCGACGGGAAAGTCTGCTGTTAGGTACCTCTCTAAAGTACTCAGGAACAACGGTGTCTCTCTGGAGATTAAGGTGCGCCTGATACAAGCCCTGGTCTTTGCAATCGCTTGTTATGCATCAGAGCGTTGGACAATGACTAGAGAGGACAGAAGGAGAGTGGATGCTTTTGAGCTGTGGTGCTGGAGAAGAATACTGAATGTACCACGGACTGCCAGGAAAACAAGCAGATTCATCTTGGAGAGGATTAACCAAGCTACTCCTTGGAGGCAAGGATTCTGGGGCTTCATCTGACATACTTTGGACATGTTGCCAGGAGGGACGGGTCCTTGGAGAGGGACATCATGCTTGGGAGGGTGGAGGGACGGCACAGGAGGGGAAGACCCTCTATGAGATGGATTGATTCGGTGACTGGGGTAATCGGGATGGGTGTGTAAGAGGCAGTGCAGTTGGCGCAGGATAGAGCAGGGTTTAGGGCTGTTGTGTATAGGGTCGCTATGAGTTACAAATGACTCGACGGCACATAACAACAAACAACAACAATATCTTTACTCATTATCCAACTGTGATTGAAAAGACCATGACCTGAAGCAGATGCACCTTAGTCCTAAAACTAATGTCATTGCTCCTCAATGAGTTAGAGAAGTCCCTGACTGCACTTTCCTAGTGCAATAATTCTCCTGATCTCCTGACTGCTGGTACCAAGTGTGATTGTATCAAGTGATTGTAGAGCCAAAGAGATGAAGTCAGTGATGGTTTCTATCTTTTCTCTATCATGCTGTTGTCAATCAGTCCAGTGGTGAGAATTTTTGTTTTCTTGATGTTGATGCAATCCATATTGAAGGTTGCAGTGTTTGATCATCTGCACTAAGTACTTTAGTTCCTCCTCATTTTCAGGAAGCAAGTGACCACCAATTACTCATGTGAAAGTCCAAACTGAAGCTGAAGAAAATGAAAACAAATCCACAAGAACCGAAGTGTAACTTTGAGTCTATACCATCTGAAAAATTATCCCAAGAATAATTTCGGTGGGGGGAGGGTTGGGCGGGGAGAGAAGTACAGCAATGAATGAATGGAAATCCAAAATCTCTGTAAATTTTCATTAAAATTATTAAAAGGGAAAAAAAGAATAGTTTCAAAGTACTGAATACTAGTGATCAAAGAAAAGATGAGTTTCGGGATGATATTCTCAATCAAAAAAACAAAAGGTAATTAAAAAGGCCAGAGATAAAGGAAGTAACACAATGAATATCAGAAAAAAATTTTGAAAATTACACTAAAATGAAGAGGCAAAAAAAAGAAAAGGGGGGAGAAATGATAAAAGACCTTAACATTTGGCAATTCCATCTTAGACAAGGGTTTCATAACAAAAATTTACAGAATACCACAGAGCCACCACAAGATAAAGACTGATAACCCAATTATAAAGTGGGGAAAAGACATTGGAAAGACTTTTCACAAGGAAGCTATTCAGATGGCCAATAGACACATGAAGAAATGCTCAAAATCACTGACAATAAGAGAGATGCAAATCAAAAAACCACAATGAGATACCATCTCACCCCAATAGCAGTGGCAAAGTTTAATAGGGTACCAAGTAAATATTGGCAAGGATGCAGTAAGATAGGAACTCTTATACATTGTTGGTGGAATTGTAAACTGGTACAACCACTCTGGAAGGCAGTTTGGCATTTTCTCAAAAAGCTGAACATAGAAATTCCATATGACCCAGCTATTTCACTGCTAGGAATATACCCCAAGAAAATTAGAACTGAGAGACAAACAGATTTGTGCACTAATGTTCATAGCAGAATTATTCACCATTATAAAAACAAGGAAACAGCCCAAATGTCCAACCATAATCGAATGGATTGGAAAAAAATGTGGTACATTCACACAAGGAAATACAATGCAGCACTCAGGAACAATGATTTCAAAAATTACTACAAAATTTGCAAGGGACTGGAGAGCATTATGCTGAGTGAACTAACTCAGTCTCATAAGGACAAATACTGCATAAGATGATTATTGTAGTAACAGAAGACTAGTAAAATATGTATAAGGGATCTGAGGAGGGGCAGGAACAGAGAGGTGAGGTTGGACTGGGAGGAAATCAAAGGGTCACATAATTTTGTGGGTGGAGGGAGGGTGGGTAAAGAAAATGGGAAAGATCCAGTGGGGATCTGGAAAGACAAGGTAATTATAGACATAATTTAATGGTGACTAATATTAGAAAACATAATAAATGGTTGGACATTTGGGGTGTTCTTGTGAATGGATTGAGAAATATGACACATTCACACAATGGAATACTATGCAGCATGCAGGAGCAATGATTTTTTTTAATTAAATTGGGAGGGACTGTAGAACATTATGCTGAATGAACTCACTCAGTCCCACAAGGATAAATATTGCATAAAACCATTATTGTAAAATGAGTATCAGGATCCAAGAAGGGTGGGAGAGATTGGAAACAGAGGGATGAAAATGTGCAGGAGAAGAGGGGTATTAATCATGGGATTGTACAATTTAATGAGGGAGGGGGAGGGAAATTAAAAGAATTTGTTCTTGAAAACAATGTATTCAAATTTTGTTAATAAACTAGTTGTGTTGTTATTAAGTGCCGTCACATTATAGCAACTCTATGAATGAAAGACTTGAGCACTGTTCACAGAGTTTCCAGAGGCAAGCCATTTCGGGAGTAGATGCCACTCCTGTTTCCAAGTTTGTTTTAATCAGGAAGCTCCAGCAAACACTGTCCACAAAGGGTAACCATTATCGCATTTGGCACATCAGCTCTCAGTGTTTAACATCACAGCAACCACGAGTTACCTCTGTACAGCAGTACACAGACCAGTGCTATACCACGTAGAAGAATGTTTGAATAAAAAACAATTTAAACCAGGCATGAGTGCTGCAGATTAAGAAATGCAATCCCAAAGTATCGTGACTGGATTAAATAATCTATATATTCTAAAAAAAAAACACCATGATGAATGGGAATTTTTGGTTCCCATGGATTTGACTTAATTTTCCTTAGCTTCAGGTTGAATTTACATATGAATAGTTGGTGGTCTATTCTACAGTTAACACCAGGCCTGGTTTTTGCAGCTGATATTGAACTTCTCCAGCTATTCTTTCCACAGATATAATCGATCTCATTCCTATGCATACCATCAGGTGAAATGCAAATGTATAGTCTGCATTTATGTTTCTTATAATCTATATGCAGAACAGATTATCCTGGAGCCTGGGCTCTAAGAGAAAAAATGTGGTATCAGCATTGGAGGAAGACTCATCAACAATCTGTGTTATACAGATGGCAAAACCTTGCTTGCTCAAACTGAGGAGGACCTGGAATACTTGCTGCAAAAGGTCAAAGACTGCAGCTTTAAATATGAATTGAAACTCAACATCCAAAAAACAAAGATTCTCGCCACGGGGCCAATTGACAGCATCATTATAGCTGATGAAGAGTTTAAGATTCTTAACAGCTTTAGTTTGCTTGGATCCACAATCAACACTCTTGGTACCAGCAGCCAGGAAATTAAAAGATGAATTACATTAGGAAAATCTGCTG